GGATGTCACCTTAAATCTTGGTCTATCGGGATTGCCCACAAACATGAGCGTTGCCACCCTCAACGGTCAGAATGAAGTATCGTCCACTCGGGTCAGTTTTGATATAGATACATCGCCACCGACCGAGACGCCGCAATCTATCAAGGCATGGACCGTTCGACAGCTCCCGTCGATTACTCAAACTTTACCAATGAGGCAGCAGTGGTCTAAGTGGGATCACTTGAAGGGAATCCCATTTGAGAATGCCGGAAGCCAAACAATATCCCTATTGATCGGGATGGACGTACCGATGGCACATTGGGTGCTGGAAAGCCGAACCGGCAGACCACACGAGCCTTACGCCAATCGAAAACCACTCGGTTGGGTCTTTTTGGGACTGGTAAATGATACGAACGACAGGTTGGCTTGAATCAACCAGCTCAGCTGCCATGTGGAAGATCGTCTGGATTCAAAGTTAGAAGCCACGATCGACATCGAGTTCAGAAACCCACCATCATACGAGTGCTCATCGTCACAGGCTGACGAACAGGCATTATCTGTCGTAGACTCTTCTCTGAGACTGACGGATGGACGTCATGAAATTGTTCTGCCCTGGAAGGCGGGTTGTCTGAGGTTACCGTCAAATTATCTCGTTTCTCGCCAAAGACTCACCCCCCTTGGTAAGAGATTCACCAGGGACGGACATCACGATCCCGATATGAAAGCTACTAATGAATACCTGGTTTAAAGGATATACCGAACCTGTCAGTGACTATCCCAAGACTGAACGGACTGGACGAGTTCGGTGCTTACGACATCATACGGTGGTCCACCCTCACGATCCGAATGAGGTGAGGGGTGTCTCCGATCGTGCATGTCAAGTCCAAGGGAACTCACTGAACTCGCAGCCGCTCAATGATCCAGACATCGCGAATAATCTACTCTTAGTCTCTCTTCGTTTCCGCCAGCGTAGGCACGTAGTTACAACAGGTATTGCGTCAACGTTTCGTCAAGTGAAGATACCCAAATCAGTCAGAGACGTGTTAAGATTCTTATGGTGGAAGCACGCCTATGTTGAACAGCCCCCGAAGA